TGAAGGGTCTTGGTAAGGTTTAATACACTTTCATGCCTGTGCCACTTGCATTGTATTTCTTGCCTTCTGAGACTCATAAACACTTTTTTTTTTTGCTTAGGATTTAACAGCTTGATACAGAGATGGCTGGGGTATATACAATTATTAGCTCATATATGCCTTCGCACGCACATTTGTGTACGCATATGTTCAAACTTAGCAAGAGTGTTTTGTTACTTGATTGTCTATTCAGCATTGTTCTATTTTATTTTCACTGATACCTTCAGAGTCTTAAGTGCTTTGTGGTGAGATTAGAGTGCAAAAAACCTATTTCAAAAAGCAGTACACGTTTTTCCACAGTGAGTAAATGTCAAAGTTGGATGCTGTAGAAAGTAATTGTTGTATCCTGGGGTCCAAAACAACACTATGATACATATATATTTTTAACCTGTTTACAGATTAGACAGTCCTCCAACTCACTAAACCTCTAGTAGCATGAAAGGGATTTAAAAATTTCATTGTGAGATTTAGACTCAAGCCTGATCCTTATAATTGTATGAATAGATCAATATTTTAGTTTTAGCAGACATTTCAAATGTGTGTATCTGCCTGCAGTGATTTAGGAACACAGAATCTTATTGTACCCTCCTGTGGTAAAAGCTAGGAGACAAAGGGCTCAAGATGCAGTTTGCCTCATGGAATTTCCTTCCCATGCTCCCTTCAGAGGAGAGAAGTTTTGGGGAAATGGAAGAGTCAGAGATGGTGGCCTCACAGCCCCCCTAGATTCTTATACATCTGCAGGGGAAATAATTTGCAGCTATATAGATGTCCACCTGGCTCTCTAGGTTCTCTCACCCATCAGTAGCACAAGTATTTTTTAGGAGTCATGCCACCATGTGCTGACGGTGCCTTTACCCTACTCCCTCTGTGAGCAGACTACATGGAGAAGAGGTTAACACCTGCAGCACTAACTGCTGCTGAATTTTAAGGTGGAAATGCTGCTCTTTAAAGTAAATACTCCCACTCCCATTTGCTACCTCTCATATCCCGACCAGCATCTCCTAACCTCCTAAAGTCCCACCACCTTCTACTCATTTGGGGTGTCTTCTAGGGCAGGAGGAGTTTGCTGCATTGACTCAGACTCCCCACATCCATGGGTTCAGAGGCTACCCCACCTTTAATCCTTTTTACAGTTTACTCTTGTAATGGAATGGCTGAAATAGAGCCCCCTTGTGGACCTTCTTGGCATCTTAACATGGCTGCAGATCTCCATGGGAGGAGAGGGGTGCGAGAAAGTCTCAGTCCCCTGTGTCCATTGGGGCTCTCCTACAGTCGTAATCCCTTCAGGGGTCAGGAGGAACTAAGCTCCAAAATGTTCTCCAGCAAAAACTAAAGTCAACTCACTATGGGGTGATCCCCACTCTCCTAAACTGTTTGAGTTGAGCATTGCTTTCTCCTGAGGGCTAAGCACTTCTTTGCCAGTGGCTGTCCTGGCTATCAGGCCTGTTTCTCCACCAGCAAAGCTCCCTTCAGGGAGGCAGAGCTCCATTCTGTTTCCTCACCAGTCAGACCTGAACTGAGCTAGGTTTTCTCCTTTAATTCCCCTTCCAGGCTTCGCACTGGCTGCAGGCATAGCAGGGTGGGGCTAGATGGACCCACAGGCTCTTTTTAACCTCTTCTCTGCTATTGTGGGGCCTCTCTGCTCCAACACATCTCTTGTTTTGCTTCTTTTTTACTCCCTTTTTTCTTTGTGTGCTTCATACTAGAGAAGTGCATGCAGTCTATAGAAGAGATTATTAAAATTGTTTCCCTAATTGTTGTATCTGATAGCATAGGTATTGCCACAGAATGGACTTTCTGCTTTAGTTACCAGATGATTATACGACTTCCTGAGGGACATTCTGTGGAACTAATGACACTAATGTAGGGTGGCCAGATGCCGGGTTTTGACGGGAAAGTCTGATTGAAAAGGGGACCCGACAGTGTTTGGTCCGATTGACTGACCCGATACCCAGTGTCCAGTTACTGGAGATGGGGAGGCGCCGGGTCATCACCCGCACCAGCCCCTATTCAGCTGGGGCCATCTCCTACCTGTGTCGGGTGGCTCCAGCTCCTGGCCCTAGCTTGCAGGCAAGTCCTTCCTGACCCGGGCGGGGAGGTGGAAGGGGAAAAGTAGTGAGCTATGGGGGAGGGGGTAAGAGGAGTGGATGGGAGCGGGGCCTCAGGAGAAAGAAGAGGGGTGGAGCCTCAGGGAGAAGAGGCAGGGCAGCGGAGGTTCCAGCACTCCTTCTTTTTAAATATTACCAAGTTGGCAACCCTATCCTAATGTGCTGTTTCATATTGTCACTTTCAAAATATTTGTAGACTTCATTTGAGACAAGAAAACACCTCTTTTAAAATATCCAATTGAGAAGACATCAGTCTTTTTAGATCATAGTTATTAAATCTATGCCGTTTCATTAAAAAGTGTTTATTTCCTTGAAAATCTGTAAAGAAATGAAAAAAGCATTATAATGTTGGAACTTCCAGAGCCTTGTTAAGGAAAGGATGGATTTTTTAAAATGTTTCATTAGGATTTCAGAGCTCTTTTGTTCATTGTTAAATAGCCAGAGTTACATTTATTTATATTTGCATTTTCAATCTTTTTTTCATTCAAAGTTTTGTGCTTGGTATTCAGTGGTATGCAGAGGTTCGCCCCCTATTGTTCAGAAATAACTTTTTTTTATATGATGATAACTTTAATGTCAGCAGAACAAAAATAGACAGTTTAAATGGAGGATTGATTCCACCCCCACATCCCCCAAAATGAATCTCAAACACCATCTTTAGAAATATGAAAGAAAAGTCTAATACAACTTGTGAGGCAAGTTTTGGAGAAAATAACACTGTTTCCAGATTTGAAAGGTGGAGCATAATAAAATGAGTTATAGAGTGTCTTTTTGAGCTAAAGTCCTGCATTTTGAATAGTTTCTTCTATTCCAAAAATAAAACTTGATTCAAATGGGAAAATAGAGAACAAATATTGAAATTCTGACTTGATCTTACCCTTTTCACAGTCACTCTATTTTAAATCATCAGTGAAACCATTTTGAGGAGTTAATTCAGAGAAAGGCTGATCAGTCTTTGTGCTTTCAGCAAGTTTTCTTTGTTTTTTCACCCTATTAATTTTTTGTGGTCTTAGCTATCCTGTTCAGTTACTTTTAATGGTTAAAATAATTTAAAGTGTCAGTTTTTGCAATTTAAGAAATGCAATGACTATGCCTGCATAAATGCTGCTTATTCCCCATCTAGGCTGTCATTTTTCCTTCTGCCCTTGATGAAGAACTGTCAAATGTGATTTTGTTTAAAGAAGTGGAATTTTCATTCTCCTGCCACCAAGATTTTAAAAAACACAGAAACCCAAAGCATAATAGAAGCTTGATTTATCCCTTACGTCTTTCTGAAGAAGGTCACTGGGGCAGAGGCAGATAGTGAGAAGGACTGTCTAGCCTGGTGGTTAGGGCACTTGTCTGGGAAGTGGGAGACCCATGTTCATGTTTCTGCTCTAGTTGCTATTTAATTATTTATACACAGTGGAACAACTTCAACAGGAGAGACTGAGAGAGATCCAGAATATCCTATACCCCAGAGACTGGGGCACTGTCCTTCAATGTGGGAGACCCAGTCCCTTCTCTATATCAGCCTGCGGGGGGACTGAACCAGTCTTCCCCATGTGGCAGATGACTGCCCTAACCGTTGGACTAAAGCTTAAAAGGGAGGCAGCAGCGCCGTCACCTCCTCCGGCTGTTTTGTGAATGGTGCCTCAGTCCTGAAACTATTTCCCCCCACCCCTCCCTCAAAAAAACCACATTTTTATGTGGGCTTTCTATTTGCCAACAGACAAAAAAATCACCCAGCTCTACCTGTGACAACTGCTTACATGGAAAAGTAATATTAGGAAAGTGCCAAATATATTTTAGCTGTCATTTTAATAAGGAGAAAGAGCCAGCAATCCATGCATCACCCACAAGTGTTATGTGGATCATAACTTGTGAATCTCTGCTCTAGAAGGTTTCTGGTTATCATAGGCTTGTAAGACTTGGCATACCTTCTCTTCATGCCTATGTAGACAACTTCTGACACTAGTGATTTCCCTCTAGGTGACATGATGAAGACCTCCAAGTTGACTGGTTGAATTGAAGTCAGTAGTGATTGGAAGTCACTTCTTTCATCCTATATATCAAATGAGGGCTAGGTCTCGTTGTTGTTGTTGTTCTGGTGTGCTTGCTTTCAGAAGCACCTTCTTGTGTTCAGCCCTGTTATGTTGTATGGCACAACCAGTATCATCAAATCTGCATCTGAACATCACTCAGTGAAGTCCCAGATTGAACAGCAATGGAATAGTTTCACTGTATCTGTTTAACACTATTCATTTCATTATAGAGACATGCACAAAGTGGAATTTATATCCAAGAGGATTTGCTTTGATTTCAGCTGTCATCATTTAAGTTGTCTGCTTCTTGGCAGCAAATTTCTGGATGTTGAGATTCATAAGAAAATGAGATATTTCTTCGGAAAGAGCAAAGAGAGAACAATGATGATTAAATGTATATCTGAGTCAGCATACATACAGCTTGCCAATAATGTAGGAAGGTTGTGTTTTGTGGAAGTCTAAAGCATTCTTGAATGAAATTTCATCAGAGCCCAAGAGTTTTCTATATATAATACAGCAAAAATAGAGAAAAGGGGAAACTAAAGAGGAAACTAAATTAAAATATATAAATCATACTTAAGATAAATAAGTGACTTACATAATAGAAGTGTTTTCAAGAGTAATGCAAAGTGCTCTTAATACCTTTCATATAAAGATGCCACTCAAAAATAATGCACAAGATTGTCTATACTATTTTTAATGATGGATTAGTTTTGCCAATAATTGCTTTGTAATTACTACTGTAAAGCACTTTCTTTGATGCTCTACTGTACAAATTGCAAATTAATTTGGTAATGCCTTCAGGCTTTTGTTTTTCTTAATCTGACAGTTTACGTGAATGTTATGCATATATTAAAAGTAAAAAAAATGGTATAAACAAACAGAGAGATCCCAAACATTTCATTAAAGTTCAGTCATACATAAATACATCTCATATGGGTTTTATCCATGAAATAAAAGCGTTTGAAAAGTTTGAGAAGTTTGAGGAAAATCTGTTCAGCCATTTTACATTGTCTGAGCATTTTAAACTGTGGTTTTCTGCCATAAAGGTGAGCATAGTACTTGAACTGCAGTGACTGCCATAGGTCTTTAGAGAAAGGAAACATGCAAATAAGTGTACCCTGTAGAAGTTCAGATCAAGTTTACATGTTTAGGGGTGTGTGTGTGTGTGTGTGTGTGTGTTTTGGGGAAGTTTGCAGCATTGTTGAATGACATTTATCAGCACCAAAGAGTAGTAAAGACAAGGGAAAGTGAGGTGCCTTAGCAAAAAAAGGGGCACTCCACTGACATTAATAAAATGTAAGCAATACAAATATGGAACTGAGTAACTTACATAATGGAATAATTACAAGAGTAATGCAAAGTGCTCCTCAAATCATTCACAATAAATTTCTGCTCAGGAATAGTTGATGCGAAGATAAATTCCTTAATATCTAATATGTGAGCTACTCAGATATTATGGTATGTGTCATAGAGCAACCTTTAAATGACTAATAAAATCAGTGTTTGCCCACAAAATGAGACAGGTTATGATGGATCTTTTTGTAGGTGCTGTGTAGAGAAGACGGCTCAGGGAATCTTCCACTACCTTATGCACCTTACATGAAGACCAGGGATAATAGCAACTCCTATGCTTGAGTGACTGTAGGGACTGCTTCCTCTTTGAGACTGCAGGGATGCACAGTACCTCAAAGGGGGCAGGGAGTTGTGGCTGCACATCTCAACCTCTGCTTCAGACTATTGAATGGGCTGGATGTTCCAGTGGAAGGAGATTGCCCCATAAGAGCATCTGAATCAATTGTGCCTCCTCGAAGACGTGCAACTCTCACCTTCTCCCATGTCTAAGATACCATTGGTTTTCCTACTTTTAGAATGGAAATACCTGGCAACTGGCTAATATTGCTAAATGTTGACTTTTTAATAACAATCATTGTCTGATTGTTCAATGAACTAGCTGCTGGATTTGTTAGATATATCGATTTGACCAAATATGGGCCTGATTTCTCCACTGCATTGGTCCAGGTTTACACTGCTCTTACTCCATTGAAGTTAATTGAATTACACTTCAATAAACCAGTGAATGAGACCCGGTGTAGTTAATGACAGTGGGTTTGAATAAGTTGAATATTACCTTTCTTGACAACCATCAGGAGGATGAAAATAGAGATCAATCCTACTCATATTGTGTTTAGGTTCTTGTATATTGCCCATCACCACGGAATATGGCTACAAAAACATGTTGGATTATTTTATTGCATACTCTGTGTATGTGTGTGTACATAACTTATAGATAGATTCCAGAAGGGACCACTGTCATCATCTAGTCTGACTTCCTATATAACAGAGGCCATAAACTTTGCCCAAATAATTCTTAGAGCAGATCTTTTGTGCAGGAAAACATCCAGTCTTGATTTAAAAATTGTCAGTGATTAATTACTCTCCCTGTCAAAAATGTACATCTTGTTTCCAGTCTGAATTTTCTAGCTTCAATTTCCAGCCATAGGATAGTGCGATACCTTTATCTGCTAGATTGAAGAGGCCATTATTAAATACTTGTTCCCCATGTAGATACTTATAGATTGTAAACAAGTCACCCCTTAAGCTTCCCTTTGCTTTGTTAAGCTAAATAGATGGAGCTCCTTGAGTGTACCTCTATAAGGCATATTTTTCTAATCCTTTAATCATTCTCCTGGCTCTTGTCTGAACCCTCTCCAATTTATCAACATCCATTTTGATGTGTGGACACCAGAACTAAATACATGTGCCAGAAAGAGGTATTATAATCTCTCTACTACTTGAGAGTGCCTTAGGGTAGGTCCACACTACCTGCCTGATTCGGCGGGTAGAGATCCATCTTCTGGGATCGATTTATCGCGTCTCATCTGGACGCGATAAATCAATCCCAGAAGCGCTCCCCCGTCGACTGCGGAACTCCTGCTCGCTGAGAGGAGGAAGTACTGTCGACGGGGGAGCTTGCCTGCGTCGCGTGGAGCTTCAGTAAGTAAACTTAGTTCGATCTAGGAAACATCGACTTCAGCTACGCTATTCTCGTAGCTGAAGTTGCGTTTCCTAGATCGATCCCCCGCCCCCGTGTGGACCAGCCCTTAGTTATGCATCGCAGTATCACATTAGCTGTTTTGGCCACAGCGTCAGACTGGGTGCTTGTGTTCAGCTGATTATCCCTCATAATCCCCAAATCTTTTTCAGAGTCACTACTTTCCAGGATAGGGTTCCCCACTTTGTAACTATGGACAGCATACTTTGTTCCTTGATGTATACATTTACATTTAATCATACTGAAATGTGTATTGTTTGCTTGCACCCAGTTTACGAAGTGATCCAGATTGCTCTGCATCAGTGACCTGTCCTCATTATTTACCATACTTCCAATTATTGTGTCATCTGCAAACTTTGTCTATGATTTGGTTTTCTTCCAGGTCACTGATAAAAATGTTAAATAGCATAGGGCCAAGAACCGATCCCTGTAGGACCTCACTAGAAATATACCCGCTTGATGACGATTCCTTGTTTATGATTACATTTTGGGAACTATCAGTTAGCTAGTTTTAATCCATTTAATGAGTGCCATGTTAATTTTATATTGTTCTAGGATTTTGATAAAAATGTCATCCAGTACCACGTCAAAATATATTATGTCAACACTATTACCTTTATCAACCAAACCTGAGATCTCATGAAATCTTTTTTTAGTTTGACTGGATCTATTTTCCATAAATCCATGTTGATTTGCATTAATTACGTTACTCTCTTTTAATTCTTTATTAATAAAGTCTCATATCAGCTGCTCCATTATCTTTTCCAGGATTGATGTTAGGCTGACAGGCCTATAATTATCCAGGTCTGAGTATGTTCACAATGCATAAAAATAGAATTGTTTTAAAAAGATACAATACCACTCCTGATTATATTTTACTTGGTCTATCTTAACTAAAAATATATTTTCTTCAGCTTAAACCGCTAAAATATCAGTTTTGGTAAATTCCATGAGCTGTCCACATGTTGGTAAGATTAACAGGGAACATACGACACTAACCAGGATAGTGAGATTGTTTAAAAATTACCGAAAAATAGACACAAACTGTTCAAGAGGAAAGTAAATTCCTTGGAGTTTGTGACTTGGAATGCTGAAATAATCCAACAGGTGAAACTCACTGTTGGAATATTCCCAACACAATTCTCTGCTAGTTCCTCTGCCAGTGAATTGCCGTCTTAGTCTTAAAAAAAAAAAAAAAAAAAAACTACTCTCTGGAGATCATCTAGCATTATAGTTTTAACTGTCCAAATACTCTGGTCAGGAAAGTAAGTGAGACAGAACTCTCTAGATTTTTCTTCAAGATGGTTTATCATTCCTTTTTTAAAATAATCATTTAATTTCTGCACACAGTCTCAATTTTTAGGCATATTTTAGATGCAATAATCATTTATTTCCTGATGTTGATGACAGGACTTGACATAACATTTCACATTTAGAAACTGAATAATGCATTTTTAAAACACTTGTGTTTTTTTTTTAAAGATACTGTATAAAGAACAGTTTGTGTATTGCATGTAGCACTAAGGTTTTGTTCCCCTTCCTCCTCCTCCCTCCCCACTTTGTAAATATGCAAGCATGCCATAACAAGTGCCCTAGCATATGATAAATATACATGAACAGGTGAAAAATGCATGAATGTTGTCATAATTATAAAGGGAAGGGTAATAGCCCTCCTGTGTACAATACTATAAAATCCCTCCTGGCCAGAGACTCCAAAATCCTTTTACCTGTAAAGGATTAAGAAGCTCAGGTAACAAGGCGGACACTTGACCCAAAGGACCAATAAGGGGACAAGATACTTTCAAATCTTGGTGGGGGGAAGGCTTTTGTTTGTGCTCTTTGTTTTGGTGGAGTTCGCTTTTGGGACTAAGAAGGACCAGACATCAATCCAGGCTCTCCAAATCTTTCTGAACAAGTCTCTCATATTTCAAACTTGCAAGTACAGCCAGGCAAGGCGTGGTATTTTATCTTTTTTTTCTCAACTTGTAAATGAACCTTTTTACTAGAGTGTTTACCTCTGTTTGCTGTAACTTTGAACCTAAGGCTAGAGGGGGGTCCTCTGGGCTCTTTAAGTTTGATTACCCTGT